GATGTCTGACGCTTCTTATCAGATGTTTCGGGAATGGCGTCGACGTTGGCAAGACTACGCAACAATGGTTGACTTGTCCAGTTTATCACATCCGAAACAAATGATACAGCTTCGTATGTGCTTGTCCTTAGAGACACAATGTACTCTCGAGCACACACTTCAAGTGCCTCCTACGACAACTCTGACGGTAGAGGCCGTGCTCGACACGTTACAGGAACACGTCAAGGGACAGCGCAACGAAGCACTCAGGAGAAGAGAACTCCTCCAATGTAAACAGCTTGATGGAGAATCTTTTGACGCGTTTTTTGTAAGGCTCAAAAGGTGTTCAGAGGAAGTTGATGTTTGTCCCGGACATTCTCAAGTCTGTGAAGAGACACAACTTAAGACAATCATTTTAACGGGTGTCCGAGATGAAGAGCTAGTTCAGCGTCTCATTTCCCTCGACCCCACTTCCTCCCTTCAAGATGTTGTTACGAAATGTCGAGCGTACGAGGCCGCCAGGTGTGCGACTTCAGCTTTACGCTCACAGCCTGACCAGGTGAGGGCGGTGTCTTCCTACAGAAAGGGTAAGAAGCAGCAAAGTAACCCCACCCCTCACCCTCCAGCTACACCTTCAGCAGCAGCTTTGTGTAACAGCTGTGCGAGACAGCATAATGCCTCCCAGTGCCCAGCTGCTCAAAGCGTGTGCAGAAGTTGCGACCGCCAGGGTCACTGGGCTTATACAGTCAAGTGCCCTGCTAGCAAAGTTCAGTGCAGACTTTGTGGTCGTGTGGGCCATTATGACAAATGTTGTCGTAAGAAGACACATAAAGGACGCCACCTAGGATCCAAGAAGTCATCCTCAGGTAGTGCTGGCGCGCCCCCTCCTTCTGGCAAGCATCAAGACGCTGTGTCCAGTCGTTCCTGCCGTCGTGTACATAGTTCCACAGACACGACGCCCCAGCACATCAATGTCGTCATTTCTTACGGTAACTCGTCATGCAGTCTTCAGATGTTACCTGACACCGGTGCTGACGTCTCAGTAATTGGTCCACAACACTTAGCAAGTTTGGGAATACCCCAGAGCAACCTACAGCCCCCTCCTCAGACAACGAAACTGACAGCTGATGGTTCCAAGATGGCTCCAGCTTTGGGATCTTTCTGGGCTACCCTTACCTTTAATAAGCAGTCTTGCTCAGCCCTGATTGATGTTCATAATGGTATCCCGACTCCGCTTTTATCATATGGCCATTGTCAAGAGTTGGCCATTATTTCCAAGGAATTCCCTAAACCTATTTTAAAGGCCGTCTTCACATCGGAAGAGTCTACAGCACCGGATGCAGACAAGACCCTTGAAGATCTCCGCACCGCAGCCCGGGCCGACCCTCCCTACATCCGGCTCGTCGACTGTGTGTCTCAGGGATTTCCATCTAACCGATACGACCTTCATGAATCGCTACTCCCGTACTGGAAAATACGCGAGGATCTCTATTGTGATGGAGACCTCGTCTTGTATGGCCCACGAGTAGTCATTCCTGCTGCCCTACGCCGCCGTACCTTGGCCCGCCTTCACGACAGCCATCGAGGAGTGGAGGCCACCAAGCGACGGGCGAAGCAGACTGTATTTTGGCCCGGAATCAACGCGGACATTGCAAGTACCGTCCGTGCCTGTGAACCGTGCCAGATTCTGCAACCTAGCCAGCAACAGGAACCTTTAATGTGCGACGATAACCCTTCAAGACCCTTCGAGTCTGTGTCGGCCGATTTCTTTGCAGTTGCAGGGAAGTCCTTCCTCGTCATTGCCGACCGACTGTCTGGATGGCCTGTTGTCGTCCCCTGTGGTAGTGATACAACGGCTACTGCTACCATCCGGAGCTTCAGGCATTACTTCAGAGAAGTTGGTGTTCCCCTCCGCCTCAGGACTGATGGAGGACCCCAGTTCACCAGCCACGAGTTCCGGGACTTCATGGACCGTTGGGGAGTCCGTCATGTCGTGACATCGCCCCACTACCCCCAGGCGAATGGACACGCTGAAGCCGCAGTCAAGACTGTGAAACACCTGATCCTTAAGGTGTCACCCTCAGGAAATATCGACTGCGAGGACTTCGATCGAGGTTTGTTGGAGTTACGCAACACCCCGAACTTCACCGGACTCTCCCCAGCCCAGGTTCTATACGGACATCATCTCAGGTCTTGTGTTCCTGCCCACCCAAAATCTTTTTCTCAAGAGTGGCAGGCCAAGACTGAGGAATGTGACCGCCGTGCAGCAGAACGAGCCGCAGATGTCGCTGCTCGATATGACTGTCATGCCCGCCCCCTTCCCAGGTTGAGTATCGGCCAGCAGATCAGGATTCAAGATCCGGTGTCTCACCGCTGGGACAAGGTTGCGTCTTCCTAGTGGTAGAGTATGGTGGAGGAACCGTCGTTTCCTCCGACCTGTGGAGCTGCCTAGTGTTGACCCTTCCCCAGTTGAGTCCCCTAATGTTGATGTCTCTAAAGTAAATCCATCCCCACCTTGTGTTTCTGCCCCAGTACTCCGCAGGTCCGAGCGACTCAGAAACAGAAGGTCCGCTCAAGATGAAACTATGAGCGTATAGGGGGGAGGGAGGTGTATGATATATATGGACACAAAGTAGTACCTTCAGCTGTATATTATTATATTACTCTTATATTACTCTTATTAATTATGTATAGTAAAGTATTACAGAACATGTATTAATTCTATGTAATATTCCATTTATTGTGCACCATATTATGTATATAAATTATCACATTTATACTTTATGTATTCAGCTTGTGAATGCTGGCATTTGTACAGGCCAGCGCGTAGTAATACATAGATAGATGTAAGTAGTTAAGACTGAGTCCTGGTGGCGTGACCACAGGCTTCTGCGTCCTACTGTTTGTATATATATCTCCCGTACGAGAATAGAACCTACTTTTAAAGACAACAAGTGTTTGTGTATACCCTTAGTAGTATAGAACATTCTTTGGGTATCTGGCAATACGCTAGAATTCCGACCTTTAACATGCTTTTGTAAAAGGTCGAGCACATCCGTCACTGAAGACGTAGAATCGGGAGGCACTTGCAACGTGTGCTCCAAAACTCTCTGGGTCTCCAGTGACAAACACATCCACAGTTGGATGAGCTGTTTGTTTGGAGGCATGCTATCAAGGTCCACCATCGTGGAGTAATCTGTCCACCGCCGCCTCCACTCACGAAAAAGCTGAAACGTGACGTCTGGTGAGAGGGCGGGTGGGGGTTGAACAGATGCCTTGGGAGCTGTTGGAGTAGCAAGAGTGCCTGGAGGACGCTGGTGTGGTGGAGGAGGGAGGGTACTGGCGCCTTGATGCGCGCTACCTGCGAGTGAGGGAGGGTGGGTTAGCGCCACTGTCGCCAATAGTGCATTAAAACGCGCCTTTTCCTCCTCTCTTCGTATCTCCTCCCTCTGAAGTTCCATCTCTCTGCGTCTCTCGTCCCTGTCGCCCATCCACCTCAGAATTGTCGCAATGTCCGTCGCTGTAGGTGAAGGATGAGGGGCGGTGGGCGCAGAAGCTCCATCTGTGCCCGGTAGAGGAGAAGGGAGGAGAAGGTGGGGAGTCGTGTCTCCCATCTTGACGTTGTCCCTTCTTACCGCCCATCTTAGTATGCTTGAACTGCACTGTTTAGTATATAAAGTGGCGCCTCATCAGCTCGAAACCACATATATCTGACGTAAACGGCGCAGAAATAACGCATAGAATCCACTGTTCTGTCCGTGAGTGCGGGCGTGCGTGTGTGTGTGTGTGTGTGTGTGTGTGTGTGTGTGTGTGTGTGTGTGTGTGTGTGTCACCCGAGAAGGGTGTACGCCTGCGTGCTCCGTGGGTACCACAAAATAGAGGCCAATGCTCAACTCTCAGCTCTAGACACACTAATACACTGACACTAACACTGCCACCGTCACCAAAACGCACTGTGACGGCGCAACACTGCACGTCGCTGCGAAACACAACACAACACAACACATTAAGAGTTGACGCCCACATCGCCGGCAGTCGGCATTGTTTCTGCACTTGTAAGTCCGCAAATCCTACTCACTGCGCCATGAAGGTTCCAAGTGTTCCCTGAAGAAGGCAGTGATGGGTAGGGAAACACTGGGTAACACTGAAGTCCATTTATTAACGGATAGGAGAAATACAAGTGGTGACTAGCGTGTGCCATGCACGGCCCACAGAGTCAGACTGAGACTGCCTTGTCGTATGGCAGCCTCGGGCCAATGTTGCCACATAACACGTGCAGTGTTGCCACGTAATTACATATATAAATACTACTCGTCACAGTAGCTTAGATACATAACCTCCAGGAAGGTTAATAGGAGCATGGCGAGGGAACAAGTGGGGAAGTTAATAGAAGCATGAGGTAGGAACAAGTGGGAAGGTTAATAGGAGCATGAGGAGGGAACAAGTGGGAAGGTTAATAGGAGCATGAGGGAACAAGTGGGGAGGTTAATAGAGGCATGAGGTGGGAACAAGTGGGAAGGTTAATAGAAGCATGAGGTGGGAACAAGTGGGAAGGTTAATAGGAGCATGGGAGGGAACAAGTGGGAGGTTAAGTTTGTCAGTCTTTTCCTCTTTATTTTTCTCTTTTATTTCCAGTTTTTATTAAGGTTCTGTTAATATTTTGTTAGGCTTTTTAATCTCATATGGAACACTACCCCGCATTGCCACTTGATGACTCAAGACTCTGAGATCCACAGCCAATATGCAAGGAGCCTTACTGATCGAGTATTTCAGTCTGGGGTAGTGAAGGAGGCAACATTCTCCTGGTCTCGGGGGGATGTGATGGTTCTCACACCACATTTTCCATTTCCAGAGAATGAAGTTTTTAAGTTTATCAAGTGTACAGTTATGTCTAATTTGATGTATAATATCTATAGTTTATTGTCTCGTCATTGTAAGGAGAACATTTCTAAAGTGAATACGGCATCACATGACTCAAATTATTCCAGTGCCTCCTGTATTATATCCAAATCCACCCTCAGCCAGATTCGTGGGGAGGAATTCGTGGAGAGTAACCCCGTGTGTGAGAGAGGGCAGGTGTTGCTCGACTGTCTTATTGTGTGAGTACTTCACAGCCTTTCTAAATTTAATGCATTCATTTGTATTGAGCAAGCGTCCAGCCTGTAATGACCAATTGTCCAGCCTGTTTAGACCAAGTGTGCATCCTGTATTGGCCAAATGTTCAACCTGTATTGATCAATTGTATAGCCTATATTGACCAAGTGTCCAGCCTTTATTTGCCAAGTGTCCAGCCTGTATTTGCCAAGTGTCCAACCTGTATTGACCAAGTGCCCGGCCCTTACCGAAGAAACATCCTGCCAATATTGACCAGGTATACTACCAGTATTACCTGTATTCACCAAGTGTCCAGCCTGTATTGACCAAGTGTTCAACCTGTATTGACCTAGTGTGCAACCTGTATTGTCCAAGTGTACAGCCCAATACAACCTTACATAACATGACCCAACCCAACCTAACCCAACCTGACTCAAAACAACCCAGTGTAACCTTACCCAACCCAAGAGAACAAACTTAACTAAATCTACCCTTATCCATCCCAGCCAAACAGAGCCTAATGTAACCTAACCTAACCTACCTAATCTAACCCAACCCAACCTAATTGAACCTAACCAAACACTATCTAACCTGACCAAACCCAACCGTACCTAACCAAACCTAAATTAGCTTAACTTAATCCAACCTAACCTAACCCGACCCAGCTTAATCTAATCCTGCTTAATCAAACCAAACCCAACCAATCCTAAACTTATCTGACCTAACTTTACCTAACGTAACCTAACCTAACCCAATCTAACCCCAACCTAACTTAAACACAGCACTAGACACAAGATGTTTTGCCTATCTCACCGCCTCTCCAGAATGTTTCACTCCATCTCTCATCGTTTATAAATGTTTCTTTCTGTTTCTCCTGGTTCTCTTAATGTCTTCCTATCTTGTACTGTCTCTATATGTCTTGATCTACCTCTTCCTTTCTTGTTCTCTTTGTATTATCATTCGCCAGCACTCTCTAAACTATTGAAAGTGACATTAAATTACTGAGAGAACAAGCATAATTATCCACACAAACACACACACACACACTTGACCATCTACCACTCTCGGGGACAGAGGTGTCTTCCTCGGCCCGCCTATTGGAGCAGCCTAGGAGTCAATATGTGACCCCCCTGCCTCATCCCTCCTCCCCACCAAGGAGCCAGTGCAAGGATTGTTGATTATTTCATCACTGTTACAAAAGTGTCAATTTCAATTCGAAAAAGAATGGAAAACAAAAAGAGTTAATGAACTTGGAGCCGAGACTGGAGTGAACAGTGGAAACTTTGCCTGTTAACCCGTGTTCCACGCGGTCAGCGTTCACCCCACAAGAGAGGAGGGACCTAACATGAGAACCAACCAGTGAGGCGGCCTACAGCCATGTGTCTCCTCTACAACACCAACAGTGAGGCGGCCTACAGCCATGTGTCTCCTCTACAACACCAACAGTGAGGCGGCCTACAGCCATGTGTCTCCTCTACAACACCAACAGTGAGGCGGCCTACAGCCGTGTCTCCTCTACAACACCAACAGTGAGGCGGTCCTCGTGTCTCCTCTACAACACCAACAGTGGGGCGGCCTACAGCCTCGTGTCGACCAACAGCCGACCAACAGCCATGTGTCTCCTCTACAACACCAACAGTGAGGCGGCCTACAGCCCGTGGCTACTCTACAGCGGCCTACAGCCTCGTGGTCTCCTCTACAACACCAACAGTGAGGCGGCCTACAGCCATGTGTCTCCTCTACAACACCAACAGTGAGGCGGCCTACAGCCACGTGTCTCCTCTACAACACCAACAGTGAGGCGGCCTACAGCCACGTGTCTCCTCAACAACACCAACAGTGAGGCGGCCTACAGCCACGTGTCTCCTCTACAACACCAACAGTGCACTTCAGTGCACATGATTTACGTGACCTCCACTGTAAACATTAATCACTGTATGTTCTTTTTCCTTTCTCTAATGAAAGCTTTTGTTAAACCACCAATGTATGTAATAAGTCATTTATGTCCAATGTATATTTTCAACCTTCGGGCTGCAGAACTTTTTCAATAAACCGTTAATGACTGAATTTGTCAACGGTGGTACTATATAGAGACACTTTAGTTGGGTTATTGTTTTGGCCGTAACATTTAAGGTGATCTAAAGGACCTAAACTAACCTAACCTAACCACACCACCATCTGTCGTTCAGTAACGGTTGGTATCAAGGTTAAAATCTATTATAGACCTTTTGTTATTTGCTTATACCAAGATATTCCATTGAATTAGTGTCTTATAATAATTATATAGAAAGTGTAATTAATTTTCAGAGGTTTTGAAAGTGTGGCAGTCTGGTAGTGGTGAAATTAATAAACTGAGTTGGGTCTCGTCATTCTACCTCGCGTAATTGTATGAGGTCACATTCGTTTCACTAAAATTTTATTCAGGTGTAAATCACAATTGCAATTTTACAATTTTATATTCTGACATTAGTAATGAAAAGTTGGCGTAAGTATTATTTGTGGGCATTGAACTTATTAATTCAATAATTTCATTTGTGGGGTTACTGTATCTGAATTCTAGTCTTAGGTTAGTATATATTCTTGAATTCTGTATATTTTGGAATCGTCCAAGTACGTTGTAACCAGGAGTGTGCTGGCAACTTCTTCACAATCGGTTCTGTTTAAGGTTGAAATTCAGGTGGTGGTATACTGTACATCGGTGAGCACCATTACGCTGGGGGTCTGGGGTGAGCCATCGCGTTTTAGCCTTACCAACGGGCGTTTAGTAAGATTTTGACGTAAGTTATTTTACATATCCTTTATACTAACTAATGATGATATTACATTACATTAGAGTAAAAATAATTGTTTATTAAAAACTAGCTATTACAATGATTACTGCTTGTGACACGACCTTTATTTTAATTAAAATTTATTAGGGTACAGTATTTTCTGGAAACATATATTCAGGTACAGTATTTACTTTGTTTTAGTTCCTAGAAACGGTAAATTGTTCGAAATAAATACTGACCGTCTCAACAGATCAGTACTACACATCCATGACACGATCAGCACAACCTTGAGTTCAATACTAGTGCCACTGCCATGTAAGTTCATTTAATGAAATTTAGCTGATAGAAAGTCCACGAGATATAGCATTAGTGCAGTAAATAGTGTATAAACAACATTGCTTAATAAAATAAAGCATCACAAATAGTCTTATCAGGCAACAAAGTCGATTGATTGACAACAGTGCAGTTTATCGGCTTTCTGAGCAGTTGCCATTTGCCATATAGGAATAATACTATTTTGTATACGTATTTTTTATTATTATTATTATTATTCTTGCTTCAAGTTTTCATCCTGACACAAATTATGTTAGCTTTATGTGTCCAAGTGATTCTGAGAAACGGCAATATAAACTTACTCTAATTTGTGTAACATTTAGAAGTTAATAGTAAGGAAAAGAAGATAAGGTTAATGTCAGAAGAAACTGTAATGATGATTTATACATTAATAATATATTAGTGACTATGACCCCATACAAACAGCGAGGTAAGAAGACGAGGCCCAACTCCACCGCAGCTCGAAATATTTTCACCCCTGACACATTATAAAATTCTCTGAAGATTAAAATACACTTTCTATATAACTATTAATGAGAGTAGTCTGTGTATTAATTCAATGGGAATACCCTGGTATAAGTTAATAAAAAAAAATCATAATAATGGAGGAAACTGCAGCGGGCCTATTGGCCCATACTAGACAGTCCCGTTTACACACAACCCAACATATATTTGAAACTACTCAGCGTGTTCCAGTTAATGATGATATTTGGTAACTTGTTCCACTCATCCTCTACTCTATTTCCAAACCAGTGTTTACCTATTTCGCGCCTAAATCTAAATTTGTCTAATTTAAAACATTGCTACGAGTTCGTTCCTGGTTGGATAATTTAAGTACCTTTGTTATATTACGTTTGTTTAGCCCCTGACTTCCATTTGTACACCTCGGTCAACCCCCCACTCTACGTCTCTCGAGGGAGTGCAAATTGAGATGCTTTAATCTGTCTCTGTACTCAAGGATCCGAATGTCTGGGATTAGTCTTGTCATCCTCCTCTGTAGTACTGTGACCAAATCTGAACTGCATAATCCAAGTGAGGTCTCACAAGCGCAAGATATAGTTTTAGGATAACCTCGCTAGTCTTGTAACTAACACTCCTTTGTATGAACCCAAGTACTTTGTTAGCCATATTTCGAGCAAATACGCATTGTTGTCTTGGTTTTAGAGTACTACTTATCATTACTCCTAAGTTTTTCTCACAGTCGGATTTCTCTAAAACAGGCACGGGGCGATTAAGTTTCAAATTTAACTAGTTAATTTATTTGTTTCCAGTTAAGTAAACCTGATTCTTTTAACATTAACTAATTAAGTTAAGATTTTTTTTATTAAATTAAGTTAAGTTAATCAGTCTGTGTCAAATTTGCTTAGGAGAATTTTCACGTGGATTAAATAACTTAATATCCTGTAAATGTTTTCCAGAAGAGTCAATGAATACCGTAGTTTGTATACCTGAATGGTGAGGCTTTCTGGCACACTACTTCCTTGGTATGAATAAGTCTTCAGAAAAAATAATTATAAATTCTTGACTTTTTAATTTTTACTCAACAGTTTTTCACATGTAAATAATTTTATTATTTCAGTATGGAAAACCAAGTTAGACTTTCTTACTTGAAAAATTATATCATGATAAGATAAGAATTCTGCATATCAAATAAATAATAAGCAGTGGAGGTTTTAAACTCAAACTTTTTCATCACATATTTATTACACTTTATAATGCTAAATATATTGGATACTCACTGGGCGTAAGGGCTGGTGTTATATATATATATATATATATATATATATATATATATATATATATATATATATATATATATATATATATATATATATATATATATATATATATATATATATATATATATTTTTTTTTTTCTAGGAGTTAATTGATAATAATCG